TAGTATTAGGCTACAATAATTAGGAAAAGACCCAAAACCCTTCTTCAAAATAATTGTCGACGGCATGACGTACGGTCCATCGATTGACCTATGGACCGTCCTAGTCGACCGTCAATGGTTTCAGAGACTTAGTCTCTGGGCCAGCGGATGAAGGGACCCATGTACGGTTCGTGGGTCAAATGATGGACCGTGCATGGCCTCCGTGGTATAGCTGAGTTTCTTTAAAATTCCATAAAGTCTGAGACTCACATACGAGGCCTACTTACGACTCGTGCATTGAATGACGGATCGCCCTAGTGAACCATCAAAAAAGTACTAAATGACGGGCCTACCTACGGTACGTGTGTCAGACAACAGGCCGTCGATGGCATCCGTTGGTACTGGCACTAGACTTCTGAAAAATTGAATTTTCCTGTCTTTTCGAATCCAAGGTGTAACACACAACCAACTTAGGTTGTTGAAGGTGCCACATCAGCACAAAAGGTGCACAAAAATATGGGAAAAAATGAATTTAAGGGGTAATACGACCCTAGTTATGTTTAGGTGTGTCTCTAGAATTTCGGTCATAGTCTTGGGGGTACTTGTTCCTTATCCCTTTTCTTTTTATATAAATTGTGAGTTTCTACAGTTTAACATACACATTAGTTTACTACATATGTATCTATCGCTATTTATTTACATGTAAATAATATATTAAGTTCTCACGTATTTCTAAACAGCATACATGACATATTTTATTTTATAATAAATAAATTTAAGATCACAAACTTTACATAATATTTTAATATTTTTAAAAAAAAACTCCTTATCTATTGGATTCTTGCTCAACTTATATTTAATATACATCACATATATTGCTATATATTCACACCACATCTATTATCTTATCTCTTCTTACATCTTAATTCTATATATGTAAATAAAGTAATAAATTATCATACTCTTTCAACTCAACATTTATATACGATAAATTTATATAAGTTCATTCATCTCATATGACTTTAAACACACATCTTTATTTTCTAATATATAAAATTTTCATACATTTGAAGTATATTTATTTATTTATTTTATCATACAATAAATATATTACTATTAAATTTATTCCATATATATTATAGATGTATATATGATATACCTTGTATTTTACTCTTGTTCTCTCACCAATTTTAAAACAAATAAATGAATAAAATATTCTTAATTATTTTTCCAAAACTTAATTTAAGGACTATCTTTGGATAGGCTCTGAGGGTTACTTAACACATTCCACTCGAGTAACCAAAACTCTTACCTAGAATCTCATTGGTTCGCAAATCAAAATAGAGTTTACATTTAAATTATTCAAAAATGGTTTCCTAATTTTTTTTTCCCTTAAAATTAGGTGGTGACTCTAAATAATTTTAAAAATCAAAGGCATAGTCATTTTATGTTGCAAACTATTTTGACAAGTTCAAAAGTGTTTATGCATGTATTGTTTTTCTCTTCGCTTTGATTTAACAAGAACCCGCATTAGAACTCGTCTTATTCCTACTTGACTAACCACGGGGGTAACGAATGGGAAAAAAGATTATACAACGAAGTTCGAGGCTATCAACCCTCATCTAATAGTTTGAACTGATTAAGGGGTAGTTAATTTGGAATTAAAGATAAGGATTAGTAAAGCATACACCTGTAGACAGACCAAGTTACGTGGTGAAATTCATTTATTTAGGTGGCTATCCACTTTGGTGATAATTAACTTATTAATCTAGCATGCTACACACAAGACAAGGTTACTACTGTAAGGTTCTACTGAGTTAAGGATTCGTGGGGAACACTTACACCCTAGTTTCATCTTATATTGAATTACAATAAGTCAAATTGTTGCTTGCTACTTGCGAACATTGCATTCAATTACTTTTATACAAAACTCCTCTTTCAACGAAAATAATAAGACTAAGAGTGTGAATAATATCAATTGATCTAAGTCTGAACCTAATTCCTTGTGGGATCGACCCTAACCTCTGTTAGGTTCTTTATTTAGACAACGACCATATTATACTTGTTTTGCGAGGTGTAATTTAGGTGTATTAGTGTCACATATGAAATGATAGACACTGGTACCTCGTGCAAACAAACAATCTCCCGAATGTAAATCCTAGCTAACCTCTCTGAACTGTAGGTAGTCTGAACCGGCAGAAAGTGCATAGACTTGGTCAATCATTCCACGATGACCCAAATAGCATAAAATCTCTGGAAAGTACATGAAAATCCTACCACAAAGTCCATAGATATCCGCTCCTATTTTCACTTCGGAAATGGGTAACCACTAGGTCAAACCATCTGGCCTCTGGTGCTTATACTTCACTTGCTGATAGTTCAAGCATCTAGCCACAAACATCGCAATGTCCCTATTAATACCACTCCACCAATAGTGTTGCATCATATCACGATACATATTCGTCACACCGGGATAAATAACTCCTCCAGAATCAACCTAACCAAATCTCCAACTTTAGGAACACATATACGACCCTCGATCCTCAAAACACCTTCTAGATCTAAATTCGCTTTCTTAGCCTTGCCTCTAAGCACCCTATCTCAAATCACCCTAAACCTCGGGTCCTCAAACTGCTATACCCAAATCCGCTCCATAAAAAAAGACCTAGCATCCACACAGACCCTGCTGGACTCAAAAATATAAAGTAGAACCAATCACTTGGCTAAGGACCGGATGTCCGAAGCCAAAGGTCGCTCCTCCACGGCTAGGAATCAAACTCCCCATGCTCACCGCAATCCGACACAAGACATCTACTACCACATTTGTCTTGTCTAGGTGATAAAGGATCGTAGCATCATAGTCCTTCAGTAACTCTAGCCACCACTCTCTTAGATTAAGGTCCTTCTGACTGAAAATGTAGTGAAGACTACGGTGATAGTGAATACCTCACAATGAACTCCATTCAAGTAGTGCCTCCAAATCTTCAATGCAGAGACGCCAACTCCAAGTCATGAGTGGGGTAGTTCATCTCGTGAATCTTCATCTGCCTAGAAGCATGTCGTAAAATGCATTATAAATCACAATAATAAAAACTTGAAATATTTGAAAGAATAGTAAAAATTGGTTTACTCTTGAGATTCTATATATGCCACGTGAATTGGGACATATGGAGTAATATGTATTATTTTAAAATTATGTAAAAAACACTATAAATTATAATAATTAACAACTTAAAATATTTAAAAACCATATAAAATTTTGGATAATTTTCTAAATTCCAACTGTCTCATATAAATTAAGAGTGGGAGAGTATATTAGATCTGTGCTGGCATGGATTTCCTTATCTAATAATATAGTATAAGAGAGAATAAACAAGCACCTCGTGATAAACATGCTTGCTTACCATGAGGGTATTTTCGGTATTATTCAGATTAATGCTAAAAAGGTCTTGTAAGTTGAGCCATCAAAAGTTGTACCTTAGTTCTAGTTGACGAAAAAAATGAAAAGACAGTTTGTTAATCACATTTATGTCCCTCTTTTTTATTATTAAAGTATTATTTTATAATTCTTAATATCTACTGCAGTGCGCGCATACAATTCTACCTTTGCGTTTCATATATTTTGCCCCTGCTTTTTAATTTTATTACAGTAGTTATCTTGTACATTTTGGTAAAAAGAGAGATATTTCATGTCTTTTATACAATGTTTATTAAAGTGACAAATATCTCACAATTCAACTTTTGCATGTTAAGTATATATTTTGCTCCTGCTTTACAATTTTATTACAATAGCTATATTGTACATTTTGATAAAAATAGAGTGATTTTCATGTTTTTTTTTTATAATCCTTATTAAAGTGACAATTACCTCAATTGTTAGCTTCCTACATCTTCAAAAAAGTTATTTTACTTCTTCAACTTTTAACAACTATCGTAAAGTATTTTCTCATTAAGTTAAAAATAAAAGCAGGCTTACTTTTTCATAATTATGTTATTGGAGTAATTAATAACACTTAACATAATTATATTATAAATAATATTAGTTTAATTTTGAAACTTATTAAAAAATAATAAGATCACATAAATTTTAAAATATTAAAAAAATTAAAAATAAATGTGCTTAGCGCGGGCCTAGCCCCACTAGTTGTTAAATGTAATGTGTTACACAAAAGTGGGTCTTCTTCGTCTACGTTGACTTGACTTGTGCATTAATCATACGGCAGAGAAGACTATGAGAAGTATTCAAAGTCTCCTCCTAAAAGCAAAGACTTACTGTCGCGATTTACACGTTTATTCCTCAGTCTCAAAGTAATTGATTATGGTATTATAAATAATTGTTTCATATTAGTTGTTCATCTTGACAAATAAAATAAATATTAATTAAAAAAATTCTATACTACGTTTGCAGCTAATTCTTTTTTAAAGTATTCACGTTTATTTGTAAAATCTCATACATCACTTTTATATCTCTCTCGGATACATCTCTCCTATGTATCCGGATGTCATATCCCCTCTCGGATACGTCTCTCCTATGTATCCGGATGTCATATCCCCTCTCTGATACATCTCTCCTATCTCGAATACATTTGATGTATCTGAAAGTCCAGTGATGTATGTAAAATTCCTAAATTTTAAGACATTTTTGTAATATGAAAAAAAGGAGAAATAATATAATTAGTTCTTACCACTATGAAATTTATGTAAATTACACCAATAAACGAAATAAACAACAACCTTAAAGGTGATTACAGTTTGATTATTTGAGTAATACAATTTTTAAAAAATATGGGCCCACCATAATTTGAGTATTGCAATTTCCACAAAAAGATTGGAAGTTGTCAAAAAATGAGTTCCCACCTCCCACTAGTAGAAGCAATTCCATTGGACAAAGCAACGTAGAAAGATATTTTTGATTGGAGGAGATGTTATTAAGATAACAGAAGAGTAAAGACTTGGTTATTAGCGTAATTTATATAAAAGTCAAGGTCTTAATTGCAAACAAAGTTTCTATATAAGTAGGCCTAGCTAGCCCAAAGTTTTTAAGGGAAGCAAATGGGTTGTCTAGTAGTTTTGCTACTTTTTACACTTGTCACTTGTTCAGTATGTGAGACCTTCTTTGAAGAACGCTTTGATGGTAAGCAGATAGATAATTTGTCTACCAATTGAAGTTGTATATTATATTGGAATTGTTCAACTGTTTAAGCTTGTGATTTGTGTTTCATGGAATAATTTATTCTTCAACTTATTATTGATTCTTTAGAAAAAAAAGCTTAAATATGTTATCGAACTCGGAATAAAAGACATTTTCTGTTTTTGTGAAAAGATGGTTGGCGGAACAGATGGGTGAAGTCTGAGTGGAAAAGCAGTGAAGGAAAAGCAGGCACATTTAAGCACACAGCCGGCAATTGGCCTGGTGATCCTGATGACAGAGGTTTGTTTCATCTCTCTTCTTATCTTCCTAACATATATGCTTTCAAATGCTACCTTTATTGCTTCTGCTCCTTTTCCTCCTTGCTCTATCCATAAATAAAACACTAAAGTCGTCTGGTGTGAGGTGTATAAAGCAGGCAGATCGGGGTGTATCTAAGTTTGGTTAGTCAAGTAGAGGGTGTTTTTAAGGCTGTCAATAGCTAGCTCAAAGATAAAACTAATAATTTGCATCAAGTTCAGGCATATTTTCAATACTTCTTTCATGATTGATTTTGTAATGTTTGGGGCCAACACTTAAGGACCAATCACAACCTTTGAAACTCGGAGATAATGGGCCCGTATCTCTACCTTTCTCTACTTAGTTCTCGAACTAGTGACCTAAGTGTCTAAATATGCTAATTGTGAAGTCTCTTGAAGAGGTGTTGCTATCACAATATGATTCTTCAGAAGTAATGCTGCTGTTTTACTCTTTCCTGTTCTATTATCTAAAACTAAAACATTATAAATTTACAATATTTAGATTATTTCTGGTAATTGATACATAAAAAATACATAGGACTGTCGAATTTGACCAATCAAGTAAAAATGTGAAGGCTTAAATGAATAAATCTTTGTTGTTTGAGACAGGACAAGAAACTTCACAAAACTTTTCTGTTTGCATCTCAAAACTCTTCAAGAGCTTAGATTCATTTATTTAAATTTCTTTTTATTTTTTTGATGAAGTAATAATTTTTTGTTGTTGAAGCTAAAATAATGACGTTGTCTCTTTATTTTATGATCTCTCATACTCAACCACCAGTCATGTTCTTCTGTTGGTTGAAGAGTTGAGTCACAAATTTAAGATGATAATGATTTTGCAGGTCTTCAGACAACAAGTGATGCCAAACATTTTGCTCTCTCTGCAAAGATACCGGAATTTAGCAATAAAAACACAACACTGGTTGTACAGTATTCTATAAAGTTTGAGCAGGATATTGAATGTGGAGGAGGTTACATAAAGCTTCTCTCTGGATATGTCAATCAGAAGAAATTCGGGGGAGACACCCCATACAGGTCATTTCTTGTTATGTTCAGAATCTGAAATTCCATTGTTCTCCCTTTAAGACATCCCATAATCTGGAGATTTTTTGATTGACATAGGCATGTTTTTTCCCTTCCCTATGAAGGATGTTGTGACTTAGCACTACCCCTTAGCAGCGCAATACTTTGTTTTTCTGGCTGTGTTACCTATGGACCTGATTAGTTTACGATCGCCCGTTGGGTACACATATCTTGTTCATCATAATATGCATGAGTGGAATTTGTACACTGAATATCTTAGTTCTAAGAGTTATTGATAAGTTACTAAAAATAATTAAAGACGAAAAGTAGTGTGAGGTTGATGAATTAATTTCCTTATATGTCAGAGGGGACAGCTGCAACTATTTTCCTGGTCTAAATTTGCAAATCTTTTGTGTTGCTGCAGTTTTATGTTTGGACCAGATATATGTGGTACACAGACGAAGAAACTTCATGTTATACTTTCCTACCAAGGCCAGAATTACCCCATCAAGAAGGAATTAGAATGTGAAACAGACAAATTAACACATTTCTACACGTTCATTCTTAGACCTGATGCATCATACAGCATCTGGATTGATGGTCGAGAAAGAGATTCTGGAAGTATGTACACAGACTGGGACATACTTCCTCCCCGCAAAATTAAGGCTGTAAATGCGAAAAAGGTATACTATCTGGAGGTTAGGTGATTTTGGGAAACTCAGGAATACCTAACTGCCTTCCATCCCTTTACTACTTTGTTAAGATTTTGGTTCTTCTATGGTGTTTTACCCCGCACTTGTTTTCCTTGCTTTATAGCCTACTGACTGGGATGATAGGGAATATATAGAAGATCCAAATGATGACAAACCTGAGGTAATTTATAATGTATGCGTTTAGGTTTCTGTAGGTTTTATCAATTTGCTTTGGATTGTGGCTTATTTGGATCTTTTTACTCCAGGGATATGATTCTATTCCGAGAGAGATTCCTGACCGGAAAGCTAAAAAGGTTAGTTTGCAACTGGAACATAATTGATGGAAACCATGCTCATCACCTGCATTGTGACTGAGGTTCTATGAGTTCCTTTTCGGTCATATGGTCATTCTAGAAAGGCATTTTCATCTACCTTTACAAGTATCAATTTTTTTTTGATATATAGCTTTTTCATAGGATATATATATTAAAAATCAAAAAAATTGTTTTCTTTGATCAGCCTATTAACTGGGATGACGAAGATGATGGTATGTGGAAGGCACCCAAAGTACCTAATCCAGCATACCGGGGTGCATGGAAAAGGAAGGTATGATGCAAAATTCTTTTTCAATGGTTAGTTATTAAGAATGAATGGTTTAAGTTAGAACTGGAATATCTAAAAATTTATTTTTATGATGCAGAAAATTAAGAACCCCAATTATAAAGGGAAATGGAAGATCCCCTGGATTGATAATCCAGGTAATGAATGTTTGCAATCATATCATACTGCACGTGACACTGCTATGAAGTTTTAGCAAAAAATCGGAAAACAAAACCTGATCTTTCTCTTTGTTTTCAGAATTTGAAGATGATCCTGATCTCTACGTGCTGAAGCCAATCAAATATGTTGGTATTGAAGTTTGGCAGGTAATACAGACTATCTTATTCTTAGGCAATGTCGTCTACTATCTTTTTCTTCGGCAATGTCTTCTTTTCTGACTAGCTTACTCAGCATTTTTGTAATATATATAGTAAAAAGTGGATTGTAATATGTTGGAGTGCAGGTAAAGGCTGGTTCTATTTTTGATAACATTCTGATTGGCGATGATCCAGATTATGCAAAACAAGTGATTCAGGAAGTGTTTTCCCATAGGGAGGTCTGTACTTGATCCTCTATCCTTTACTAGTAATTTGTAGATTGATTTCTCTGGTAGTACTTAAAGAATTTCTTAAAACATTTTGTTAGGCTGAAAAGGAAGCTTTTGAAGAGGCAGAAAAAGTGAGAAAAGCAAAAGAGGAAGAGGTAACAGTTCTTGCTTATCACTAACATTCTACCTAACCTTCTTTTACTGATGCATAAGTTCTAAAATGATTGGAAATTCTTAGGAAGCTCAAAGATCAAGAGAGGAAGGTGAGAGGAGGAGACGAGAAAGGGGTAGGGACAGACACCGGGACAGATACAAGAGGGTTAGTATTCTCATATATTCATATTTTTGAATATGCGTTTTACAGTAGTTTCCTCCCAAAATTTGATACATTTTTGCTTCACATTGTTATGATATTGTAATATCTAATTATTGATTTAACACTTTTCTCCAGCGCTATCACCATGATTATATGGATGACGATCATGTAAGCTCGTACTTATTTTTCTTCTCTCCCCACTTATTCCACCCCGGCTTATTCTGTTGACGTCTTATTGTCTTTACATGACTGGCATTCACATTGGCTAACTGGCAGTCTCAATAGATGTGTACTAATTGAAAGTCTCAAAAGATGGTTAATTCATTCTAAAAAGATATTTCGAAATTGTTATGGAGTTGAAATTCTTTTTCTTAAGACATAATGTGGTTCTAAACTTTGATGAATATCACCACTCTATTTATGGCTTCTGTCTGAAAGGTTGATCCTCTTAAACAGATAGATTCCTTGGTTAGTTATGTCGCAAGTACAAATGGCAGATTTACAGCAATATTGAAATTTGCAGTCATATCCAGTACAACTTATAATGTTAATATAGTTTACTTAAAATCAGAGGTTACTGAAACAAATGATGAACATAATTAAGGTTTGGTAGATGAATTGTTGTGCCTTACACCTTTGGTGACATCAGTTACTCTTCTGGTTTTGCAGGATGAACTTTAATTTGGTGTTAAGACCATATACTACATTTTCCAGCATGGAGACAGATACATTTGGGTTTATTGTGTTCCTCTTGTTGTATTTTGCTCTTATTGTAGCTGTATTTTTGCAAAACACTAAGGTGTTAGATAAGAAGTGCATTTGTATCTCTAAAACTATTAATTATATTTGAAAGTTGAGTGTCAAAGCTTTGGCTAGCGTGAGTGATTTTCGAAATGTTTTTCAGGACAATGGTATTCACTGATATCTATTCGTTCATGCCCTCGGGGATGTTCATATTGAACAATTTAACTTGCCAATTATCTAAACATATTTTGAATGCATCATCAGTACTAAAAACAAGACTAATCAATCTTGTTCCATAAAACCAATAATCTTGATCAATGGAGGATCAGTACTCAAGTCGCGACAGAGACAGAAGTTGCATGTTTGGATGATATTGAGAACTCATAATATGCAGTAATATGAAATTTTTCGTATAGATGTCCAGAATTGAATGAATTGACAAAGATAATTCCATCACAATGCGGTATTAAAGGTACTTCAAATTGTTTTTTTTCAGAGCCAAACATGTACTAACATGATTCATATTAATAGAAGATTTAGTTGGGCAAATCATTACATATGGACAATTGGACATGGCCACGATTTATAAAAGCAGACCTAGGGTAACGGTGTTGGTGGACTTACTATTAGAATTTCACAAGTCTTCAATGATAGAAATAGGGAAGATCAGGCCACACGGCACTACAACAAATCTTTATATATACTAAAAGAGAATTCTAGGTCCGCCTATGTGGCGCCCTCACATATCAGTATTCTTATATAACCTTTCTTAAAAGTCATAACCTTATAGAAAGTCATATTTTTTTTGGTCAAATTTTGGCCGAGCCTTTTATTAAAGAGGGAAAGTAAGAAATCACAAGACTAATTTGGGCCTAATGCCCAAATCCAATAAACGAAACTATGAAAAAAAACAAAAAAAAAACAAAGGCATAGAAGTCCAACCCATCAGATTCCCATCCCTTAAACATATCCCTAGAAGATAGGGTTCCCACAAAACGCCTCACTCTCTTCCTTTCCTAATTTCGCCTCCTCGCTTCTTTCTATCAAACCTTTTCCATTCTGAGCTATGTTCCCACTTTGGTTGAACAAAGGATTCTGCCTCCTCTTACTGTGGATCATTAACATTATGATGTGGGTCTTCTTGCAAGCTTGGATTTCAGCTATCAATAGTAATAGTAAGTATTTTCTATTGAAGGAAGCCTGAAGCCTGATGGAACAGGTCCATTGAAGCTGGCTGACGAGTTAGAGTTAGAGTCATACTAAGACTAGACTACTAAATCCTAAGTTATGTACGATTAAGCTACTGTATAGTGTAGGAGTCGACTAGTACTCAGGTAAATACTATATTTGTGTTGTAGTAGGATTCCTAGTATAACTAGAATAAGACTCTTAACCTATATAAGGAGCATTGTAACTCAACATTATTTTTTATCAATACAATCCTTGATTTCTCCATACTTACGTGAGATTTCTACATGGTATCAGAGCAATAAAGCTTTTCCGCTTTTTAACGTATTAGATCAAAACCAAAACAACCACAATATCAAACCACAATTGCCCCTTCTACCAACACTCTTTCGACCTCTTCACTTCATCATCTTATTTCGTCTTGCTCCATTAAACTTAAGCCAACGAGCTATCTTATATGGAGGACATAAATATCTCAGTTGATTCAAGTGATGATATTAACCTACCTCATCACAGAACAACCCTAAAGTACATGTTCCACTTAACATACTATTGAGAAAGTTGTAGCAGGCGAGAAGGGTGCAGAAGACAGCAACATTGTTGATGAATGGGAGGAAAATGATGTGTTTCTAAGGAGTTGGATCTCAGGCACCTTGACAGAAGAATAGGTTGCTCAACTGCCAAGAAGATGTGGGAATGCTTGGAAGAAGCTTATCTTCAAGCAACAAAAGATAAGGCATTCCAGCTCAAACAACAACAACAAAGTGTGAAGCTAGGAACCAAAACAATTGATGAATATATTAAGGAATTCAAAGGCATATGTGATGGCCTTGCAGCCATTCACAAGCCTGTAGATGAAGATAGCAAAGTGATTAATTTTTCTATAGGTCTGGGTCTTAAGTACAAGACCTTGAAGACTGTCATGATAGGTAAGGCACCATATCCTACTTGAAAGTTTAGATACTGGAAAAATATCTTTTATTCATAGTGTTTCTACAGTATTTATAAGAGAACAAGTAAAGACCAAATAAACTAATCAATCCCTAATTCTTAGGAAATCCTTGAATCAAGGGATTTCCTCTAAACTATTTTCCTAGAATAATATATTCTAATCCCATATTCACAGGAGCAGATTCTAATCAAATCTGCCAGCTTTATTTGTGGAGCAGATTATAATCAAATCTGTCAGCTCAATGGTGGAGCAGATTATGACTAAATCTGCCTACTCATTCAACACTCCCCCTCAAGTTGGCATGTAAATATCAAATATGCCTAACTTGCTCACAAATGACTCAGAAATAGTTCTGAAAATACCTTTTGTGAAAATATATGCAACTTGTTATATTGTTGGCACAAAAGGAATGCACACACTTCCATCTTCAATCTCCTCTTTAATGAAGTGTCTGTCCACTTCAACATGCTTTGTTCTATCATGTTGAACTGGATTATGAGCAATGCTTATGGCAGCCTTATTGTCACAATACAGCTTAATTGGAAAACTCATAGGTCTTCTTAGTTCTTCCAAAAATCTCTTGAGCCACAATATTTCACAAATTTCGTGTGCCATGGATCGATACTCAGCCTCAGTACTACTTCGAGCCACCACATTTTGCTTCTTACTTCTCCATGTCACCAAATTTCCCCAAACAAATGTACAATATCCAGATGTAGACCTCCTATCAATAGATGAACCAGCCCAGTCTGCATCCGTATAAGCCTCAACACTTCTTTGCTCGTTCTTCTTGAAGAACAACCCTTTCCTAGGTGAACTCTTTTGATACCTTAGGATTCGATACACAGCTTTTTGGTGTTCTTCTCGTGGAGAATGCATGAACTGACTGACTAGGCTCACAGCAAAGGAAATATCTGGTCTAGTATGTGACAAGTAAATCAACTTGCCTACCAATCTTTGATATTGGCCCTTATCAATCAATTTTCCTTCCTTTACAAACTTCAGATTTGGATCAATTGGAGTTTCAATTGGTCTACAACCACTCATTCCAGTTTTTTTTAACAGATCAAGAACATACTTCCTTTGTGACACTATAATTCCTTTCTTCGATCGTGCAACCTCCATGCCAAGAAAGTACTTTAGCGGGCCTAAGTTCTTTATCTCAAATTCTGAGGCAAGACGTTCCTTTAGATTTTTTATCTCAACCACATCATCTCCTGTGAGGATAATATCATCAACATACACTATAAGAACGGTTGTTTCTCCTTCCAGTGAATGTCGAGTAAACATTGTGTGATCTGCTTGTCCCTGCACATACCCTTGTTTTTTCACAAATTAAGTAAACCTTTCGAACCAATCCCTTGGAGATTTTTTTAGACCATAAAGAGATCTTCTAAGCCTACATATCTTTGACTTGTACTTCCCTTCAAAACCTGGTGGGGGATCCATATAGACTTCTTCCTCTAGGTGCCCATTCAAGAAAGCATTCTTCACATCCAACTGCTAAAGAGACCAGTCAAGATTTACTGTGATTGTCAATAGAACTCTAATTGAGTTTAGCTTAGCTACTGGAGCAAACGTCTCGAGATAGTCAATGACATATGTCTGCGTGAATCCCTTAGCTACTAGGCGGGCCTTATACCTTTCCAAGGATCCGTCTTATTTGAATTTGGTGGTGAATACCCATTTACAACCCACTGGTTTCTTTCCCTCGAGTAAATCCACTAACTCCCATGTCTCATTTTTTTCAAGAGTTCGCAATTCCTCCAAAATAGCCTCCTTCCACTCGGGAACTTGTAGAGCATCCTGCACATTTGTTGGAATCTCCACACTAGAGAGTTGTGAAGTAAAGGCTGAATAACTAGGAGAGAACTTTTTGTAGGACACAAACATAGAAGTAGGATATTTAGAAGTAAATCTAGCACCTTTGCGTTTCGCAATAGGTAGATCTAGATCTAAGGAATTAGAAATAGAATCAGTTGGAAGAGTACCTTGAATTACAGTAAGGTCTTGTGGGACTGATTTTTGGTAGTGTTGAGAATCTTTGGTCTTTCTTTCTTGAGTTTGGTTGCTTCTCGAATACACCTACATTTCTGTTTTTTGTTCTCTATTCCCATTTTTATTTTTGTCATTTGAAGGCGCTACAGGTTCAAGTTCAATTTCTGAGTTTTTATCATTTAAGTCACTTTGGTCTTTATCATCTCTTGGATCACATTTATTTATATCTTCTCCTACATCTCTCACATCAGTATTTATTGTAATATCAGGCTCCTCATTTGCTTGATATCTAGTTTCCTCAATATCACAAAAAAAAAAATCTTCACCTACATGATACTCCCCCTGAAGATGAGTAGTAAAATAGAATTGCGACTCAAAGAAAGTTAGGTCCATTTTGACAATTATCTTCCTAGCATGTGGATCATAACACTTATATCCCTTTTGACTTGGAGCATATCCTACAAAAATACACTTCTTAGCCCGCGGTTCAAGTTTACTACGATTATGGACATGAACAAATGTTGTACAACCAAAAACTCTCAGAGGCAGATCTGTAGTTAACCTAGAACTAGGAAAACTTTCTTTGAAAACTTTAAAAGGTGTCTTAAATTCAAGAGGGCGAGATGACATCCTATTAATAAGGTAAGTGGCAGTCAAGAGAGCCCCTCCCCAAAGGTGTTGTGGAACTTTACTAGTAAACATTAAAGCTCTCGTTAACTCTAAAAGGTGTCTGTTCTTTCTTTCGACGATACCATTTGGTTGAGGTGTATCTGGACAAGAGCTTTAGTGTACTACCCTAGTTTTTCTGAAAAAACTTCCTAATTGTTCATTAAAAAATTCACGGCCTTTGTCACTCCAAAAAATCTTGATTTTCTCATTGAACTGTGTTTCCACCATGACATAGAAAGTCTCAAACACATTTTTAACCTCAGATTTGTCCTTCAATAAAAAACCCAACTCAATCTAGTATGATCGTCAATAAA